CTGAAGGTTTGTCAACTTTATACTTTTAGAGAAATAGGTCTTAGTTTTATTGACCTTTTCTATTGTCTTTTTATTCTCTATTTCATTTATTCTGGCTCTAATCTTTGTTATTTCCTCTCTTCTCCCTTTGGGGTTTGCTTTTTTCTAGTTCATTCCACACCTCTAGGTGTGAAATTAAAATTGAGATTTTTCTTGTTTCTTGAGGCACACCTTTATCATAAATTGACTCAGGACTGCTTTTGATAATCCCATATATATAGATTTTGGTATATTTCCATTTTTATTTGTCTCAGGTATTTTTTTTAAATTTCTCCTTTGATTTCTTCATTAACCCATTGGTTGGTCAGTAGCATGTTGTTTAACCTTCACATATTTGTGATTTCTCCAGGTTTCTTCCTGTCACTGATTTCTAGTTTCATAACCATTGTGTTCAGAAAAAATGTTTGATACAATTTTCATCTTCTTAAATTTTTTGATACTTGCTTTGTGGCCTAAAATATTACCTATTTTGGAGAATGTGCTACATGAAGAATGTATATTCTGCTGCTTTGGGATGGAATGTTCTGTGTATATCTATTAAGTCCATTTGGTCTAAAGTGTCATTTGACACTGTTTACTTATGATTTTCTATCTGGACAAACTATCCATTGATACAAGTGGGGTATTAAAGTCATTACTGTATTGCTGTCAATTACTCCCTTTAGGTCTGTTAATATTTGGTTTACATATTGAGGTGCTCCTGTTGGTTACATAAATACTTACAAATATTTTTATCTTATTGGATTGATCCCTTTATCATTATGTAATGCCTGTATTTTTCTTTTATTACAGTATTTGATTTTTAAAGTCTGTTTTTTTCTGATACAAGAATAGCTACCTCAGCTTCTTACTTACCTGTTTTTTGTTGTTTTTGTTACTAATTAGTACCCTTTTTATATTAAAGATATTAGAATGTTACATAACATTTCTTATAGGGCTGGTTTTATGGTGATGAATTCCTTTAGCTCTTGCTTATCTAGAAAACTTTTATCTAATCTTCAGTTCTGAATGATAACCTTGCCAGGAAGAATATTTGTGATTGGAAGTTTTTTCCTTTCAGCCCTTTGAATTTGTCATGCCACTCCCTGCCTGCCTGTGAAGTTTCTGCTAAAAACTCTGATAACTCTTATGATGCTTACTTTATACTTAAAAAGTTGGTTTTTTTCTTGCTGCTTTTAAGATTCTCTCTTTGTCTTTAACTCTGGACATTTAATTATGTGTCTTGGTGTGGATCCATCTTGTTTGGAACCCTGGACTTACTGGATCTGGATATTTGTTTCCTTCCTCAATTTGGGGAAGTCTACAAATATTTCTTGAAATGACCTTTCTGCCCCTTTCTCTCACTCTTCTTCTGGGATGCCTGTAGTGTGAATGTTATTCCACTTGATGTTGTCCCATGTGTCCCATAAACTATCTTCACTTCTAAAAATTATTTCTTCTTTTGTTGCTCTGTTTGGGTAAGTTTCACTGTTCTGTCTTCCATATCATTGATTGTTTCTTCTGCTTCATGTAGTCTGTTGTTGAACCCCTCTAGTATATTTTTCAGTTCAATTTTTGTATTCTTCAGCTCTGTGGTTTGGTGTGGTACTTTCTTATATTTTCTTTCTCTTTCCTGAAGTTGTCAACTGTGTTCATCCATTCAGCTTTCCATTCAGTATCTTTATGGCCATTATTTTGAACTCTCGATAAGGTGAATTCCTTATTTCCAGTTCATTAAGGTATTTTTCTTGGGTTTTATATTGTTCTTTCATTTGGAACATATTCCTCTGCTTCTTCATTTTGCTTGACTGTATGTTACTACATATTAGGCACAACACCTATCTCTCCCAGTCTTGAAGAAGTGACCTTGTATAGATGAACCTTGTTTAAACTTACTCTAACTCTTAGTTTTCTCTTGAATCCTTGTGATTGTCTAAGCAGCCTGATTTATTCTTGACAGTACCCTGTTGTAGAGGGTATGCCAAGCCCTGTGAGTGTTCAAGAGGGAGGGATCTCAATCATTATCTAATTTAGAGGGTGTTTGGATGCCAGACCCTCAGGCAGCAGTTTTTAAGGTATGCAAGTCTTATGAGATTGCAGTCATAAACCCTACTGACCTCCAGATCAGGCAATCTGGAGGTGCCCCTCGGTGACAGCTGCAAAAGTTGGGGCTCCAGGACAAATGTGTGAGCTCCCTTACAAGAGGTACCCATGAACTGTAGCAAGGCCAAAGAAGAGCATAAAAATGGCATCCTCTGGCTTTTGTTTCCTGAGAGTACTTCTATAGCCTCTAGATGTATAATAAACCTGTAGCCTGCCCCCCAGGCTGATGCTTGAGGACAAGTAAATAGTCTTTTTCTCGGGAACATGGGGGTGCATTTCACTCTGCTCTGTAGTGCTCTGGGGATGGTAGCCTGCCAAGAACTGTCTCTCTGATTGTTTCAGGCCCAGAAATGCTATACCCCCAGTCACCAGAGCCAGGCATTTGAGATATCTGCTGTGTGGGATGCACATTCCACATTTGTCTGCAGGGACATTCAGGCAGGGCTATGGTGGGTGGGGGCAAACCCACTTTTGCTAGCAGGTTAGGAGAGTGTAAAAATGGTGCCCATCAGTGTCAGCACTAGGTAGGTAGAAGAACATAAAAATAGTGCCCACCACTGCCTCTGTTCCTGGACAGACTTCCAGCAAGCACCTGCCCCTCCAGCAGACACCTTAACAAAAGAATCTCCTTTGCTTATGACCTAGGCACTTTCCAAACTGCTGTTTTTGTGCTGGGTCCCAGGGCAAGTGAATCTAAACACAAGCCCTCTAGGTCTCCTAGACATAAGCCCTGTTGGTTTTAAAACCCAGATGTTTGAGTTTGTTCCAAGGGTTGGGGTACCTGGAGTAGGGCACAATCCTCTCACTCCTTGGGAAATTTCAATATTTATGAGATTCCTTCTGATTGTGAGTCACTGCACTAGGGGCATGGTTCTCTGCCTTTCTTACCTGTCTTGATGTGGTCCTTCTAGCCTTTGTTTCAGAGGGAATTGTTCTGTATGCAGCCATAAACTTTTGTCTGTGAGAGGAGGTCAGTTCAGGATTTTCCCATGTTGCCATCTTGCTCTGCCTATCTTCCTTGACCTCTTAAAGTGAGTTGGAAAATTTTGGATCCTCCTATTTTTTGACAGGATGTATTATTGTATCATTTATTCTTTAAACATTGGGCTCTGCAAATGAGTGAAGTCACTTGGTACTTGTCTTTCTCTGCTTGGCTTATTTCACTGACTATACCTTCTAGCTCCATCCATGTGTTTCAAATGGAAGGATTATTCTTTTCTTTTTATGGCTGAATAACATTCCATTGTGTGTATATGTACCACATCTCCTTTATCCATCTACTGATGGACACTTAGGTTGCTTCCATATCTTGGCTGTTGTAAACAGTGCTGCGATAAACATAGGAGTGCATGTCTTTCTGAATCAGGAATCTTGTTTTCTTTGGCTAAATTCCTAGTAGTGGAATTACTGGGTCAGATGGTATTTCTATTTTTAGTTTTTTGAGGAATCTCCATATTGCTTTCCACAATGGTTGAACTAATTTACATTCCCACCAATAGTGTAGGAGGATTTCCCCTTTCTCCACATCCTCACCAGCATTTATTGTTTCTTGTCTTTTGGATGCTGGTCATCCTAACTGGTGTGAGGTGATATCTCATTGTGGCTTTAATTTGTATTTTCATCATGATTAGCAATGTGGAGCATCCTTTCATGTGCTTGTTGGCTATCTGAATTTCTTTGGAGAAGTGTCTGTTAATATCTTCTGCCCATTTTTTAATCGGGTTGTTTGGTTTTTTTGGGTATTGAAGCATGTGAGCTCTTTATATATTTTAGATGTTAACCCCTTATCAGATAAGTTGTTCACGAATATATTCTCCCATACTGTAGGATGACTTTCCATTCTGCTGATGGTGTCCTTTGCTGTACAGAAGCTTTTTAGTTTTATGTAGTTCCATTTTTTCATTTTTGCTTTTGTTTCCCTTGCCCATGTTTACATTTAAGATTTTTGCCTATCTTTTCCTGTATGTTTTATGGTTTCATGACTTATATTCAGGTTTTTTATCCATTTTGAGTTTACTTTTGTATATGGAGTTAGACAATAATTCAGTTTCATTCTCTTACATGTAGCTGTCCAGTTATGCCAACACCAATTGTTGAAGAGGCTGTCATTTCTCCATTGTATATCCATGGCTCCATTATCATTTCCTAATTGGCCATATATGTTTGGGTTTATATCTGGGCTCTCTATTCTGTTCCATTGATCCATGGTTCTGTTCTTGTGTCACTACCAAATTGTCTTGATTACTGTGGCTTATGTAGTAGAGCTTGAAGTCAGGGAGCATAATCCCCCCTGCTTTATTCTTTCTTCTCAGGATTGCTTTGGCTATTCGGGATCTATTGTGGTTCTATATGAATTTTAGAACTATTTGCTCTAGTTCATTGGAGGATGCTGTAGGTATTTTGATAGGGATTGCATTGAGTCTGTAAATTGCTTTGGGCCAGATAGCCATTTTGACAATGTTGATTCTTCCTATCCATGAGCATGGATATTCATTTTTTTGTGTCTTCATTAATTCCTCTCATGAGTATCTTGTAGTTTCCAGAGTATAGGTCTTTCGCCTCCTTGGCTAGGTTTATTCCTTGCATATTTTATTCTTTTTGATGCAATTGTAAATGGAGTTGTTTTTCTGATTTCTTTATAATTTTTTGTTAGTATATAGGAATGCAATAAGTTCTTTTTTTGTAACTGTTTTTAATAAGCCAATAATTGGGCATAAATATGCTCATGGCTACTGGAATCCCATTGCTTCCTAGGCTGTATCAGAAGAGATAGGGGGTATGTATATATTTAAATATGTCTAAATATATTGAGTTCTTTATATTTAAATCTGCAAAGACTTCACAAGCCTGGATATTTAAAAGGATTCATTGGATTCTGATAGGATACTCAGATAAGACATTTATTTACAGGCAAAGATACAGTACTGTAAGAGAAAAAAATAACAGTACCAAATGTACAAAGAACAAGCAGATAAATTGGACTTCATGAAAATTAATAAATTCTGCTCTATGAGAGTGTTAAGAACTGAGAACCAAAGCTATAGACTGAGAAAATATTGATAAAATATATATCAAATTAAGGAATTTGTATCCAGAATGTGCTAACAAATCACAAAACCAGTAAGAAACTAATTTTTCTAAAAGTAGGCAAAAAATATGAACACAAAATTCACCAAAAGAAGATATATGGATCACAAACAAACACACAAAAAAATGCTCAACAGTGAGTCTTTAGGGAAATGCAAATTAAAACCACCATGAAATACTTTACAACACCTACTGGAATGGCTAACATGAATAGCCCATGTCTTACAAAGGTCAGCAGGGAAATGAAGAAACTGGAAATCTAATATGCTTCAGGAGCAAAAGTGAAATATTATAACCATTTTAGAGTGTATTTGGCAAGTTTTTAAAAAGTTAATTAGGCTCAACTTCCAGCATTACTGTGAGGAGCTTTGCAGGCCTGCTTCCCACTAAAATTGGTAAAAATTTAAAAAACACAATTCAAAGTCTCTGGAAATGGTCCTACACGTATACAGAAAATACAAATATTTACTCAAGAAGATCTAATATTCAGTAATAACAGCAAGAGACAGTTGCATTTGAACCAAGACCACTCCCTGTTTCCTCCCTCCAAACTGAAGAGAAATGAAAACTCCATTCCAGACCTATACAGCAAAGAATGCAGGGCTCTTTCTCCCTGGAGCTCCAACACAGGGCTATCTTCTCAGGAGGGGTACTATGTCAGCAATTCTCTTCCTGCCCCCAGTGTGCATATTTGAATGAATGAAGTTCAACTGCTGACTCCTTCATAAAGGCTACTTTCAGAGTTTTAAGTTAGATTAATTTAATTTAGGATGACAGCACCTGCCCTGCACTCCTAAGGCTTTTCTCAGTCTGAACTTTCTGGTGCCCAAGAAGGCTAAGCCTTTGGCTGAAGACTTTCTTCATCATCACTTCATAAGGCCTAACAAGGTTGTGAAGGTTTTGTTGCTGAATCAGCTTTGGTAGACTTTTCCAAGTTAGCTGCATTCAAGACTTTTCTCCACTGTGAACTTTCTGGTGTTGAGTGAGGTTGAAACGCCGGCTAAAGGATTTCCCACAATGGCTGCACTCATAAGGCATCTCTCCAGTGTGAATCCTTCGATGTTTAACAAGGCTCGAGCTGTGGCGAAAATAATTCCCACATTCCCTGCACTCATAAGGTCTTGCACCAGTGTGAACCCTCTGATGTTTAACAAGACTGGAATTCTCACTGAAGAATCTTCCACATTCATCGCACTTAAAAGGCTTTTCTCCAGTGTGAACTTTTCGGTGTTGCATGAGGCTAGAACTTTGGCTAAAAAATTTCCCACATTCACTGCACTCATAAGGCCTTTCTCCAGTGTGCACTCTCCAATGATTAATAAGGCTTGACCTGTGGCTATAGAATTTCCCACATTCACTGCACTTATAAGGTCTTTCTCCAGTGTGAACTCTCTGGTGTTTTATGAGACTTGAGTTAAAGCTAAAGAATTTCCCACATTCATTGCACTCATAAGGCCTTACTCCAGTATGGATTCTGTGATGTTGAACAAGTGTAGAATTATGCCTGAAGGCTTTTCCACATTCACTGCATGTAAATGGCTTTTCTCCAGTGTGAACTCTGTGGTGTTGAACGAGGTCAGCATTGCGACTAAAGGATTTTCCACATTCACTACACCCATAAGGCCTTTCTCCAGTGTGAACTATTTGGTGTATAAAAAGGTTGGATTTATGGCTAAATAATTTCCCACATTCACTGCATTCATAAGGCTTCTCTCCAGTGTGTAGTCTCTGGTGCTGAACAAGTAAGTATTTCTGACCAAAGGCTTTCTCACATTTGCTGCATTTGTAATGCCTTTTTCCAGGATGAAAGGCCTCCCCACTTTTGGTAGTCCTGTGTGGCTCCCCTCTGCTCTGTTTCTTGAGAAGCCCAGAGCTGTTAGGGAAGTCCTTGTCACCCTCCTCTGCCTCTTCTCTTAAGGGTGTCTCTCCATAGGGCTGGTTGTAGTGGTGGTGAAGGTTTTCTCTGAGCGTTCCCTCTACATAAACACACTGCTCAGAAGGGGCCGCCTCAACCGTCACTGCATGCCAACAACCTGAAAGCAAGAAATGTTAAAGTGTATGTAAATTTTGGTGGGAGGAGGCAGCCCACCTGTAAATGCGTATCTGACACACCCACGAGGAGCCTGAGATCAGGGTGAGAAGGAGCCTGCTGCACATAGCTGGACCTGGCAAGCTCACATATTGGTGGGAGGCCTCGTGAGCAGCAAGGACACAGGATCAGGTACGGCTCAGGGAGCAAAGGCAGGGTCTCCAACACTCTTGCAAATGGTTTTCAGTAGGTGCTGCTGCTGACAACATGGGAACAGAGCAGAAGGATGTGTCCAGGCCCAGAAAAACCCAAAGCAGCTGAACAGCAGGTGTTCAAGTACTATCTCAGGATATGTGCACATCTCACGACGGACTCAGTGAAAGCCTGCTTTGTATTCTGCTGCCTCAAACAGGCTGTGGACGGCACGGCCAGGGGCACCAGAGTGATGAGGCGGGCCCCTGCCACAGCTCCCCCTTCCTCCCCTCCTGATTGGGACCCAGTGCCATTCAAATGCTCCAGTGAAATTCCCTCACTCCTTTTCTTGTGTACCCCACCTGACTCACAGTAAAGGCACCTGCCCGTGGTTCCCAACTTGTCCCCTGCCTGGTTGAGCCTGCTCCCTTGGTGCTCCTCCTCAAAGGGCCCCCCTTCAGTGTGCAGTGACTCTTTCTCTCCGGGACCTGTGAATATAATACATTTTGTTTATTCCTGCACCTCACCTCTGTCTCCTCTTGCGGCTGCACCTAAGAGCATAAAAAAATGACTGGCACTGTGAACAGGACAGTCTAGTCACAGGTGAGGGATGAACTAGAAGATGCCCCTTAACTGCCTGTTTACCAGTTGGCTGTCCCAGTGGGGCTTTGCCATCTGGGGAGGCTCGATGTCATGGTGCTCCTGTGGGCTGCTCTAAGCTGCTCTGTGTTGCCTCAGTAACTACTGAAGCTTTTCACCCTAAACTGTGGATCTCATCCTAGAATACCAAGAGTCCACTGAAAGCCAGCTCTGACTCAAAAAGGGAAGAAGGGTTCTCTTGCTGCTCCCTGATCATGGGACAGACTGGCATAATCGGCTAGAAACATTATGGAACTCCACCAGGATCGATGGTGAGAATGGAAGGGTGACCTCCCTGCAGGTAGCAAAGGAACACTGGTATCAGGTTCAGGTTTATTAAATGTCTTGACAAATGAAGCCTGGGTAACTGGGAGACAATTTCTGTGGACTGGTGGCACCAGGAATGGGAGCATCCTGATGCTCACATTCTGGTCCATATTCCCTCTCAATCCTAACCTGTGGTGCCGCATCTCCTTCAAGAGAAGTCCTCCATGGCAACCCCTTCTCCACCGCCGTTGCACTGTCTCCTGATTGCATGAGTATTGTGGGTCCCATCCCTGGAGATCAGTGGCTCAAGATCTATGGCCCAGGATTTCAGCAGGCATATTTAATTCCATCACCTCCCAATGTTGCCAGTCATTCAAGAAAGGTGAACCCCCTCTGCCACACTAAGGCCTCTACGCAGTGCTGCTGCCTGTCAACATGCCACCTACTATTCAGCTGCTACAGTCTAGAAGCAATCCCAAAGTAGATCCAGCCCCCCAAGCTCTCCTAAATGGACCCTAACCCAGCTGAGGTCATCCTAGGGAGTGAGGCTGCTGCAGTGAAGATGGAACACAGAAAGGAACGTCCCAAGTTCTTTCCAGAGCCAGCAGGTCAAGAACATGGGAGATCACAAGGAATCAGAAACAGATTCACAATTTCACACTAGAAATCCAAACTGTACTGAAAGGTTTCATTCAAAGAGATGCAGAAAAGGGGTTACCCAGAGCATTTAATGTGGTCTTGGGTGGCTGCTGGTATTACTACAGAGATTAAGTAAAATAATTTAATGATCCGTTGGCTCTCCAAGTCCAATTCTCATAGGGCATCCCGAGGCTGAAGGCACCCAAAACAAAAGGCATCCCAAACACCGGGGCAGGCATGACAAGGCCCAAAAATATTAACGAAATTGTAAATGCTTCAGATGAGGAACCTAAAACCTCTACCACTCCTCAATTTCAAAAGCCCTGCCATTACTGACTTGGATTTCCATGGCCTAGAGATGCCCAGGAGGACGCTATCAAGGAAGCCTGCATGATCCTCTGGAAAATATTGGAATGCCTCAATGGATCTACCGGTTCTCTGAATAGTGAGTCCAGGATTCAGAACCCTGAACACGTTTGACCCAGAGGAGGCCCCCTTTGTCACAGTCTAGTTGTTCTTTCGGGTATCAGGTTTATCAGCATGTCCCATGGCAAACAGGAGGCCAGTGATGGAACTGATATGCTGTGCTACAAGGGCTCTACCCATCCTGACTTAAAAATTCTAACAACACAAGCCCTTCCTGCCGTGCAGGTACCCCTACACCACTACCATTCAGCCTGCTCTTTCCCCAATTGCTTGCTGGTGCCCCCAGTCTCCAGGTGATTGGACTCACCCCATTATTGACAACTGAGACATCAGTGTGCCTCATGAACTAATTACTAGGCAAGTCACCCTAAAATTACAATTAAAAGAGCCTCATCCATTACCCACAGGTCTGGCGGCTCTGGGAACCAGTCCTCTGAGTACACTCGAGGGTGCCTCTGGTTCCCAAACTGGCAACTACCAAGGCCTCCGATGGGGATTCATCCAGTCCCCAGGCCTTGTCACACCACCCAGGGACAATCATCCATACAAACTCTGGTGATTCACTTTAACTCTAAAAATAGGCATTTTCTAGCTTTACCAGATATAGGAGCCCAAGTTATCATCACTCCATCACTCCATGCAACCCATTCAAATGTAAACAGAGGTGCCCCTTTTAACCTGCAGGGTAATGTTGGTAAAACTATTCACAGCAAACAAATTGCCCTGGATCCCAATATTGCCACCGTCTTTATTAAATGGCTGCCCATCGTGGTTGACCTGCTACACTTTTGAGTTTTCCTATTAGAGATAGAGGTGCCACTGCATGCTGTGTCCATGCTGGAACAAGCCAAGGTCCCTGGCCCTGCTGGTCCTGCAGAGAAGCCATGGGGCTGTCCCTGCTGGTGAAGGCAGTAACCATTAGTGCCCGAAGCAAGGCCCTGCTGGCCTTAGGCTGGTACTTCAAGGCCTACTAAAAGGAGGAGGGATTATTCCTAAATTCTCCTCTTAACAGCCCTATCTGGCCAGTCTTAAAGGCTTCGACCAAGAGTGGGACTTAACTAATGATCATCAGAACCTCAAAGTTCAAGATAACCCCCCATCAAGGTTCCAATACTTAACATGATTGAATTCACTAAAGATACTCAGACGGTGCCCAGTGACTTTTGCTGTGGTGGAGCTGACCAATATTTATTGTGCACCTGTTACCCATCAGTCACAGCCCCAGTTCATCTTTACCTTTGAAGGAACCCAACATATATTTACTGAGTTGTCTATGAGTTATTTGAACAGCCCAGCAACTGCCCACAATGTGTATTGCCAGGACCCAGGCAGGGTTCCCCCAAAACCTTCGTCCACTTATCCCACCTGCCTTTGTTCCCAATTGTACTCACCTAGGATGGCTGCATGTTATAATCAAGTCTCCCTACAGGCCTACAGCATGTGCCCAGGAGCCACCCTGACCAGTTCCTCAAGTTAAGGCCTTCATCTCATGATAAAACCTCACTAGCACATTGTGCTTTAAATAAGGGCAGCTTTGGATTCTGTTGTGGCCCAAACCCATGGTTGACACCTTACATGCTCTTCCCTGCTGAATGCCAATGAAACTGTGCCCCAGTGTGCAGTGGTTACAATGGGGATCCCCAGTTCTTTACTCACTGGGTACCTTTTTCCATTAACCCAGGACGCTGGACAAAAAGGGCAATATTTACTCCCCCCTTAAAAGGACTTGCCATAGCTGCAGTAGATGCCAGCACAGCAGCCTTTGTCAAACAAAACCATGCCATGACTCCCAACCAGCACCTTTTGGCGGCCGTTAGCTCACATACAAAAGCCTCCATGAAACAAAAACATGTCCTCAGGCAACAAGCCTGTGAGTCTCTGAGCCCAAATGGTTATAGATGAAAGATGGCCTCCTGACTGTTTACTAGCCAGGGAAGGAGGCGTTGGTGACCTCAGGGAACTTCTGGACAGCTTCAGGCCCAGAGGTAAAAAATCTCTTATGACATAACCCAAAGCTTCCAATGGATCCCTGTAAACCCAAAGGGGCCTGGCCTCTCCTCAGCTTTCCCCCATGAAGTGCCATGTCTGGCTGCTGCCTGTGTAGGGCTCCTCCAGGTTGTCACCTTTGTCAAAGCTTGCCTTCAACCAAGTTATTTGAGGCACTTTTAACATCTCCACAACCCTGGTGGCAAGCGCCATCCATCCCAATTAGTATTGTTAATGATATTGAGAGGCCACAACATCAACTGTATTGTACTCTTTAAAACTTTCTATTTTACTGCTGCCTCAACATCCCTACAAACAGGCCATGAGCACCCCACCCAGGTGACCAAGCGCACCAGTGATCAGGCTGGCCCCTGCCACAAGTCCCTTTTCCTGTGCTTCTGTGACCTGGTAACATCGAAATGTCACAGTGAAACGCCCTCACTCACATTCTTGTGTGCTCCCCTTGGCCCCCAGGCCCTTGCTCCTGCTGCTTGGTTGAGCCCACTCCATGGCGCTTCCTCCCACGTGACCTCCCTCTCAGCGTGCAGTGTCTGTCTGAACCTGCTGAGCAGAACAAACCCTTGTTTTTTTCTGGGCTTCTCCTGTGTTTCCCCTTGTGGCCACATGTGAGTGACCATAAAATACAAAAAAAGGCCAGTGTTGGAGAGCGTTGCAGAGACAGCCGTGGAGAGGACCAGGGGAGATGTGGAGGATAGAGAGGTGGGGGATAGCCTGGGTCAGAAATAAGAGTGGACATGACAAGTGGGCAAGAAAGAAAAGATGGAAGTCAAACTTGGCACCAAAACATGCAGGCCCATTAGAAAGCCTCCCGGTATGATTTGAAGGCATCCCTGAGTTCACACCTTCCCAGCTCCTCCCACCATGTACCTCTTGGCATGGCTGCAGGCATGACTCCACGGGCAAGTGGGAAGGGCTCTCCCCACTGCTCCAAGCGGGTCATTCCATGGGTCCTGGAAGATGCAAGTCCTAAGGGAAAGACAAGTGGATCAAAGTGACCCACCCAGCGACAGACCGCAGGAAATAAAACTAAACGTTACCAAAAAAAAAAAAAAAAAACACCCTGGAGGGTCCTGTGTGAACAACCCAGTCAAAGAGTGGCTGTGTTGCTGTTTCAGTTCCTGGCACAGGCAGGTCCCACACATCATGCAGAGGAAGAGGGCACGGCCTGGGCACAGGACTGCCAGGGATCCTCACATCTTCACCAGGTCAGGGAGAGGCCAAGAGGGTGTGATCACTAGGCTGACTGCAAGATTCCTGATCCCCAAGCCCTTTCCCGCTCGACCGTGGAGAAGCTCAGGGAGAGAAGTGGGAGTGCACACAGGCTATCACAACACCAGATCCAGGGCACGAGGAAAGAATTGGTGCCTGTGGTCCTACTCTGGGAAGGACAGACCTGCCCGCCAGGAAAAGGGGAAGGGCAGGCACAGCCCAGGATGCAGGAGTTGGGGCAAGGGTCTTACCCAGGGAGACCGTCAGTGCAAAGTTCTCCAGCATCACGTCGCGGTACAGGCGTCTCTGAGCCTCATCAAGGAGCCCCCACTCCTCCCAGGAGAAGTGGACAGCCACATCCTCAAAGGACACATGGCCCTATCAAGAGGGGAACAGCTGAGTTTATGGGCAGCCTCTTTCCCCAGGACTTTGGGCATCCCCTCAAACATCCACCCTCCTCCCTAGCTCTCCTCGGAGGAGGTGCCAGGCCCAGGTGCCACCGACGCTGGTTCTCATCACTGTGTTCAGCCGTCAGCAACAACAGGCAGCTGGGCAGAGAGCTGTCACGTGAGCTCTGGGCCTGGCATGCAGAGCCTAACTCTCCTGCCAGACAAGTCCCCTGGGGTCCCCCAAAGTGTGCCTCTGCGAAACAGAGCAAGGCCCTCCTCTATTCGCAGCCCTCCGAGCCCACCCGCGCCCTCGGAATGAAGGCCCAGCCTCTCGGTCTGCCTGTCCATGTGTGACTCGTTCCCTCTCAAGCTGTTTCCAGCAGACACGGGACAAACCTCAGGTTTAAGACTCAGAGCCCAGTCCCACCTCCAGCCTCAGGACAGGCGGGACCCCCGCCCATAACTCTCCTCGGGGGCCGCCACGCCGGCGCTCAGAGCAGGGGCCCCGCCCACGAGCGCCTCTCCGTCCCGGGCCCGGGCACTCGGGGCTCCAGGGTGGATGGCTGAGGGCGGGAGGGACGGGCGGGTACCTGAGCCCGGCCCCTGAGCGCGGCCGCCGCCTTCGGACTCTGGGGGCGCCGCGGGGTCCACAGACGAGGACCAGGACGGGCTCCGGACATCCCCGGCCCCGACCGGAACTGGGCCGCTGCGGAGCCGCAGACCCCGACGCCGGCCATCTCCCGCGCCTGCCCACTCTCGCCACCCCAGCCCAAACCAGCGCTCCGGAGCCCTAGGTCAGACGAGCCGGCCTCAGGCCCCGAAACGACCGCTCCTGCGGCTACGCCGGAAGGCCCGCCCAGCGCGCTGCGCGTTTGCGGAAACGTCCGTTTCCATTGGCCGAGCTGCGGCGCGACTGGCGCAGAGCCTTCTGGGTAATGTAGTTCCCATCGTAGAAGTGGGCCGAGCTTCGCAGGCGGCGGTGGAGGGGAAATCGAGTCGAGAACTGTCCCAGACTCGTGCAGAGACCATCCTTATCTTACGCGGGCGAGACCGGTTTCTCTGCGCAGCTGGTGCTCCAGTCTCCTCTCTCTTGAAGGACTTAAAGAAGCGCTTGAGAGCCACGGTAAAGCGGTTTTCATGGACTGAACCAGTCACACATTACCAAATTTCCCTTGCCACCCAGTGTCAAAGGCAGCGGTGGTGACGCAATGCCTGATGCGCAAGGAAAAGACAAGACCGAGTTCTGGATGTAGGTGGTGAGATAGTCAGGGTCCCCAGCTGATCACCTTCCCCCCTCGCCCCATGCTCCTCTGCGCCCTCTCCTTGCTTTGGGCCCAACATGGGTGTTCAAGCAGAACTGGCCCCAAACCCATAAAGCCAACACTCCTGTCCCCGTAGCTCTCTCCCCTGCATTTCTGCCTCCTCTGTGTACCCACTGCCCTTCTGTTTCCAGACAAAGAGCCCGCTCCCTGCCGGTGGGAAGGTTGCTGGACTGTTGGTGAACCCAGGCAGCTGTTGATAAAAGATAGACCAGCAGTTTAGTATGTGTACTCCTAGCATCTCCTTTATCCTAGACCGCTGACTCCATGTCTTTTGTGTCAAACTTCGTTTCCCTGATTCTTCCATCCCCGTCATTTGTAGGCTGTGAGTGGGCAGAGCTGCAGAGCTCTGTAAGCAATGACCGGCTCCGTCACCGCCTTGGAGTGACTCGTTAGGATAAAAGATGATGTATTCACGCCTTCCTGAAATTTCCTGAAACTAGGTGTTCAGTACATGCTGATTCTGGAAAGGAGAGGAATCAATATTGGAATTAAGAGCATGGGATCGCTCCTGACAGATGTGAGAGCAAGTGCAGAGAAATTCGCCCTTAAGCCAAGCACAGGAAGAGATGTATCACTTCCTCCAAGTAGATTCTGGATTATTCACTTAGCAGATTACAGTGAGCTGTGAAAATGAGCTGACAACCATGCCATGATCATTTGTGAGTATTACATGTTGCAGAATCTAGTCTTAGCAAAATGCATATGCATGATACAATCTATGGAAAATTTAGGATCTGGCAATAATACACAGTCTGTCATTTAGGAAAATATAGATGAATGGAAAAGCCATAAAGTCATCAAGAGAATGATTCTCAAAATGTCAGGTGAGCTCTAGGGGGTCAGAGGGACATGTAAGGGAACAAAGGGACAGAGGACACCCAAGAAATAATTACATATTCTGGTTTACACTGGGTAATAGCTTTATAGGTGTGGTCTTCAGAAAAGAAAAAAATTTACATCTCTTATGAACACTCCACTGAATGTATGACAGTTTATAAAATAAGGAAAAAAGGCTGTGTAGGCATTAAATTTGTCATAGGAATAGACAAATGGATGATGTCAGCAGACTAAAACAGCTTCATATGGTATGGAATTTGATATAACTTGATCAATGAGGAAAGAAAAAACTAATCATTTAGTTTAGGTAAAATGATTATCTGTTTTCTCAAAACATACCTGGGATTTGTTTTAAACAAGTATGGTAAGACAGACACAGAAGTGATGTTTCTCAGTAGTTCATACTCAGATCTCTAGAAACAGGAGTCACAGAGCGGGGCCTCATGGGGAAGGAGCAGAGTGCGTCAGGAGGCAGGAGGGAGAGGAGGGGAATAATGGCCCAGAACCTTTATTAAGAGGATTGCCACAGGAAGGAAGGAAGGAGGCAGGTAGGTACACTGGGTAGGACTAGGATTGGACAGTTTGAATAAATTTGCCAGACCTGGGCTATAGAGGTGGTTGATCAGACTAACCAGCTGCCGCTCTTTCTCCGTGAAATCCACGGCCCTGTTCCTGAAGGCCACCGATGTTCTGTCTGCCTCAAGAAGAGGAACGAGGGCCCCCGGAGTCCTGGGGAGAGCGCTGGGGCAGAGCGCGCGCCGCGTGCTGACGTCTGCCTCGTGTCCGCTGTGCGGACTGCAGGGGCTGCTTTGCCTCCCTGAATTTTGGCACCAGATAGGCACGCAATGAGACCGACCACAGATGGGGCCAAGTCAGGTATGAAAGATGCTAACACTCAATGGGGCTGAAATCTGGAGAGCAGGTAGCAGGGAGGGCTGAGGCCCTCATCCTTCTGGCCACCAACGTGCTTCCCATCCACCTGAACTTGCCGAACAGAACCCTATTTATTTTGAAATCACCTTCTGCTTGATGTGTGGAGAAGGGGCTGGAGCAGAGCAAGAACCGACGGCAGAGACAGGGCAGGGCTGTCGTGCAGTTCAGAGATGTGTTCCTGGTGGGCCAGCCCAAGGCAGCGGAGTCGGTGTTGTGGAGCAGAGGTGAGGGCAAGTGTGGGTGGTGGGAATGATGGGGCTGGGCTTAGGCAACGACAGTTACCCGCCTCAGACCCTCGCTATCTGCGGGCCAGCAGGGCTTTCCTGTTCTGATTTTTTGTCAGTGCCCAGAAACACGTTTAGGGAATAAGTAAAGCTGAAGGCTATTGTTTCTAGGACAAAGAAAAGGCAAGACTCATGGCTGCCCGTTTGTCAGTTACCTGGGCAGTTGAATAGTCCACGGCCTCATTTCTCTGACATGGAAGGGGGCCAGGTATAGATGGTGGAGTAGAGACCGTGGTGGGCAGTGATTAAAGTCATAGTTCTGTGGGCTCCACTCTCAGCTGAGCTACTTAACAGCCATGACTGAGGGCAAATCATGGCCGTCTGCAGCGTCAGGTTCCTTCATATTACTCCAGATAACAAATTACCACACAAGGCTTGTCGTGCAGGTCAAAGGGCACGGTGTTAAGTGTCTTAATGCCATGTCCAGGGTATGAAAATACTTAATACCACTTCCTGTTAATAATTACAGTCACTCATGGTGTAACCCCTGTATCCAGTCATTACCTTCCCCATCCCCATTCCTAACCAGGAAATGTTGCTGCCTGCAGATTCCTGATGGCATCCCGGCCCATTCAGTTTGGATCAAAGGCCGGGTGAGCAGCTGGCATAAGGCCTTGGCTTCTCTAAAGCAAGCTCTGGACATTCCTCATCCCGCCATGATTTCTTACCCACCTGCAGATAGGAGCTAGTGGAAAACATCATGGACTGTTAGTTGTGCCTTCAGTGAAAATTTAAAGCACGCTCTGGATATTCACTGAAGAAAAGAGAGTCCCTTGTGAAGAATGTCCTGGTCCATCAAAAATTACAGATCGCTTGTTTGCGCATCTAGTCCCTGCTCATTTAGACTTAAACGTGTCCTGCATTGTGCTTTGCCCCATTTGCTCCATATCTTTTACTATTGTTTTCACCTTTTTATTGATTATTTATATTCCAAATGTTTCCTCTTCCAGTTTGAAAAAACATACACTCAGATTCCATTTATTATATTTAAGGTAAAATTTACACTTATTAAATACATTAGAGTACAGAGATAGACATACATTCACTTCCCACTTAGAAATATAAGGGATTTAAATATAAACAATCAGCTTCCTCTAAATGTATGTGTTCTGATGTTATGCTTGGGAATTCCATCATTTTAACTCCGTAAGGAAATACAGTCATGTTTTACATAGATAAGTAGTTATTTTAATCAAAAGATGCACTTCTCTCAGTCCTCATTCCTTTTCTCATCTCAGATCTTTCATCTGGGATCAACCTCCTTTAGACTTGAATTTTATGTTTAACATTTCATTACTCTGGGTTTGTTTTCCAGTACATTCATCATTTTTGGCCTCAAAAGGTCTTAGGTCACACTTTCTTAGAAGACATATTTACTGTATATAGAAATTTTGTTTGGTTATTTCTGGTTCTCGCTGCCCTAGTGGCCAAATGACAGTTGTTAAGTCTCCTTTCTTTTCACATATTTGTAAGATAACTAAAAGGAACTTAATACATCTCAGTATACAGAGTAAGATTATCTGTAAAAAAAAATTTTTTTTTAAAGTGTTACTCGCTGAGTTTGCACAATCACTGGTTATACAGGCGGTATAAATACATTCCGAGGTAACCGGAGACACAGGAATCGTCTACGGGTTTCAGCGGTGCCCGACGTCCCGCTCCAAGTTCCAAGCCATGGTCGTGTCTGCAGTCGTTTCTCTCATGTTCCCGACCAAACATGCTGAGGCTCACGAAATTAACTCGAGCTTCAGGCTATGTGTGTGTAAGTCCGAGGAGAGGAAATCCTGGGACAACATGCCTCTAAAAACCGAAATCAGTCAAAGGGAGAGAGTTTAAAACCCGTTATTGCTTACAAACTGCAGTCCAGCGCCGTCTCTCCCCGCTGCTCCGGAGGAAGCCGGCCAGCCAGCCCCTCCCCTTAACCTCTCAGGTTCAGACACGCCCTCGGTTGCCCAGGTAATTACCCACTGACGTGGAGATGAACTTCTCTCCACCCCTGAGGATATGCAAATGAACTTAAAGCCAGGCGAGATATTCTGGAAATGTTACAATTTTATCCACAATGTGCCTATTTGATAACATAATATTTATTAGCTTCCAGCTATAGAAATCTGAATGATGTTAGCATATGATGTGTCTATTTCGCTTTTTGATGAGCACCTTTGCGTAAAGAAGCCTGAAATAAGACATTTCTTATTCACCCAATACATGCGTAAGGCTCCTTTAAGAGTAAGCGAGACTTCGCGTAACCCTCCGGACGTAAGAAGCCTTCCCGGGCTCCATTACTTCCGAGGCTTGGCCTTTGCCCTAGAGGTGACGCGGGCTCCGTCTCGCCATCTTGGTGCCTTGGGAACTACACTACCCAGGGTTCTCGGCGGCGCCGAGCCAATGAAATACCAGGTCAAGAGCGTTTCCGTTCGTGCGGATGACGTCGGGGCGGGACTTCTGTTTTCGTCTAGGGAGGAC